CCCAGGCATTCCAGTGTGGGATATGGGCGACTTAACCACTGGGTCAGATGCTCTTCCGTCCCCCCACCCCCACCCCTCCACAGGTCACTTCTGTGGTTTCAAATGTGTGGGGATTTCTCCCCAGCAGCAAGCAAGCAGCCGGTTCTGTAGTAAACATCGGCTGGGTGTTCGCTGACCAGTTCAGTTCAGTTTTGATGCACCAGATCCCAGAGTGAAACTTGCAAATCCTAGCCTCTGGAACTTCTGACTGAACAGCTACCAACTGGAGTTCCCAAGGCCTCCTCGTTGGGTTCTTTTAGTGCACTAGACCAGCTCGCTGATCTCAGGGGAGCACTTATACTTAGTAGCTTATTCATAAGGGGTGTTTTAAAGGACACAAATAAGCAGCCAGTTGAAAAGAAATGTAAAACAAGGATGAAAGGTCTTGAGCAGGACCTTTAGCCACTGTAGAGCTGGGCTGCATCACCTTTGCAGCACAAGCGTGCCCTCTTGCTCACCCTCCCCTAAGCTCCTGTGTGTTTACCTGTCCAAACCTCTGAGCCGTGTCCTTTGGGGTCAAATCTGTGAAGACTTGCTGTGTAACAATGACCGAAGCATGGACAAGTGTGTAGAAATGCAATCGGAGAAAAGAGTATGATTATGCTGATAGACTGAGTGGGGAAAACCCAGACAGGCACTTCCGCTCAGATTCCTCTTGACTTCTCTGTGAAGCATTTCTTCCTTTCAAGCACGGGGAAGGACCCCTTTCAAAATGTGAGTCTCACGATCTACTATCAGACAAGGTGGTCAGAGAATGTTATGGCCAACTTCAAGACAAAAAAAGGTAGGAGATTTATTTTTAGGTCCTATGCCCCACCTTAGGGAAGAGAAATTCTAGTTTCTATAGACTGCTTAGGGGAGAAAACACAGCAAGGGAAAGAAGAAGATCAGAGAGAGATTTTGCTTTCTAAGCCTAAAGTGCCCCAACATTAAAACAAAAGACCGCTCTCCACCTTTACTGTTCTGGAGGAGTTCCCAAATAACAGCAGCTGTGGGAGTTATGAACCAGGAATCATGGAATAAAACCAAAAACCTATGTTATGATATATAAATACATACACCTCCATGATTAAATGTATACCTATGTGTTTTGTTGTGGTTGTTGCTATTATAAATGGGAAATGCTTGTATTGTATTTCTTTTTCAAATAGTTCATTTTTATTTTACAGATTTTGTAGCCTCTGACTTTATCAGTTCTAATTTTTTTTTAATTTAAACAGTCTTTAGGGTTATTCTTTATATGAGATCTTGTTGTCAGCAAATACAATTTTCCTTCTTTCTTTCCAATTGGGATGCTTGTTCTTTCTTTCTCTTACACAGGTGCTCTGGCTAGGACTTCCAGTTATATGTTTAGAAGAAGTGATGAGAGTGGGCATCCTTGACCTACAAGTGATCTTAGAAGAAAAGCTTTCAGTTTTTCACCATTGAGTATGATGTTAGGTATGAGTTTATTATATATGGGCTTTATTGTGTTGAAGTACATTCTCTCTAGATCTGGTCTGCTGGAATTTTTATCATGAAAGAGTGTTGAATTTTGTCAAATACTTGTTCTACAGCTACTGAGGTGATCATATTACTTTAATCTTCCTTTTGCTAATCTGGTAGATCCCATTTGATTTGAACAGGAAACTGGCTACCATAATTCTCTCAGTCTTCTATTTGACACACATTCTCTCTAGGCAGCGAACCACTTTCTCAGTTATGAATTGGTACCAGGTGGAATTTAACAGGCAAGGACAACTTTATTCAAGACTATAGCATAAGAGAGAGAGAGAGGTTAAATTTACTTGTAAACACAGCAGGGGCATCTGGGGATTTATTGCCAATGGATAGGGTGAGGGAGTCGTTGGATGGAAAATTTCTGGGTGGAATTTCATTAGCTATCAAGACCCGGTTGCCCCTCTTCCAGGCCAGCTCTCTGCTGTGGCCAGGGAGTGCAGTGGAGGATGGCCCAAGTGCTTGGGCCCTGCACCCCATGGGAGACCAGGATGAGTACCTGGCTCCTGCCATCGGATCAGCGCGGTGCGCCAGCCGCAGCGCGCTGGCCGCTGCGGCCATTGGAGGGTGAACCAACGGCAAAGGAAGACCTTTCTCTCTGTCTCTCTGTCTCTCTCTCTCACTGTCCACTCTGCCTGTGTGGAAACCAACAGTATGGAGAATTATAAAAGAGTGGAGGAGGAGACGCTAGATTGGAGATCAAGGGTAGAGAAGTCTGACCAAAATGGCTTAGCAACATTCTTTCTAAAACTGGGCTCAGTTGGATTCTTTGTCAAAACCAGGCTGGAAAGACCAAGGATAGGACCTAGTGGAGCAAACAGTTCAGAGAAGCCTGACTGAAGTTTGGTCACTGATGAAGTGCTTGTACACAGCCACAGGAATTTTTCCCACACGACACGTAAGGTACCAGAGGAAGTATCTGCATGTCCCTCAGCCCCTCCCAGCAGCCGCGGCCAGGAACGTTTCCCGGGTGTCTCGGAGGACGCCCTTGGCGGTTCCCTGTGTTTCACCTTGGTGGAAAAAGCCAGATGCGGAGAGGACAGCGGAAGGCCGAGGACGCCGTACCCACTCCGTTTCCCTCCCCCTGGGTTGGGACTGCCAGCTCCGCGCAGCGCGAGGCTCAGGGCCCGGAGGGAGGGCAGGTGCTCCCGTCCGCGGGGAGCCCCTGAGCCTGCGACGCCCGGGACCCGTGCGCTCTGCGGCCGGCTCTGGGCGGGGGTGGGGGTGGGTGTTGAGAACAAGAAGGGGAAAGAACCGAGGCAGACGGGGGTGAGTAGCAAGACGGGAAGGAAAAGAGGGGGCGAGGAATGACGGAGACTGGAGGTCCGCTGCGAAAGGTGCTTAGGAGCGGGCGGGAGGAAGAAGGGCTCCAAACCTGGGGGATTTTGAGAAGTGGAAGCCCCCCTCCCGGTAATGGGGCGTCCTCGTTGCTGCTGGGGCTTTTCTGCTCCGCCCCTGAAAAGCTCCTGCAGTCAGCAGAAGCAGCGTGCTTTTCAGTGTCTCCTGTTAACTTAGTGCACTCTGAACGCTTAATCACTCCCGGGTGAATGTGTTCGGGTCCTGAGTTCGGAGAGAGGAGGACAATCCAATACTGTGCACACGGCTACAAAGCTGTTACTGGAAGAGAATTCTATACTAAGCAGAGGAACGAGTTTTTCCACGTTTCAACGCCAATCCAATCCAGGAACTGCAAAAAGTTCACGTTTGAAAGGTCCCACCGAGATTTGAACTCGGATTGCTGGATTCAAAGTCCAGAGTGCTAACCATTACACCATGGGACCAACCGCAGAGAAGGAATATGTATCCACGGTTGTGATTAAATATCTCCTCCATAATTAACTGTAGTTGCTCCAGTACAGAAGAATTAGACTTCATTCGACCAGCTGATAAGGAAAGGCTATGCTGAAGAGACAATGAGCAAAACATAACTTGGACGACTCTCTTGCTTGCTGTCAGGAGCATAAATAAGATTTCAGACGACAGCTGAGGAAGTTTCAGTTTTCATGGGGTCTGAAATTTACATAATTTGGGATGGTCTCTTTAAGGTATTACAACACACATTTAGAGGTCTACTCCAAGGCGCGCATCTGAAGATCAGTTTGAGTAGAGGCAGCTGTCTTAACTAACATCCATTAAAGCTGCACCCTTTTGCAAATGTTTCAGAACTATGTGTCATACAGAGTGAGCTCTCCCAGGGTCTTGGGGTTATGCAGTTGAAGGCTCTTGATACGTCTAGCGAGACACTTGATAAATAGTACTCTGGGATGCAAATGGCAATAGCTATCAAAATAACCTGTACTCAGCAATTTGTCTTCTACAGAAATAAAAAAAAAAAAAGAAAGAAAGAAAATGTATTAGCACTCTTTGTTCATTGCAATATAGAAACTTGGAAATCTGACAGTGTATTTAATAGAAATACTATACATCCATTAAAATGAATGGGATGAATGTATGTACCCACATGTTGGCATAGCAGTTCTAGGGAGGATTAAATAAAACCCAACAACTTGATGCATTTTAATGTATAACATCACATAACTTTTGTAAGTGTATGAATCTATTTTCTGTTGTCAGTAACACAATACCACCGATTGAGTAGTTATAAAGAAAGGAGGCATATTAGCTCAAGGTTCTGGAGATGCAAAGACTGGAAGCTGCGTCTGCCAATGACTTTCTTGTCAGAATCCAGAGGGGACACAAAGTGTCACATGGCAGGAGACAAGGAGTGCCTGTGGATGAACCTATGTGCTTCTCTAGTCTCTCTCCATTTCTTATAAATCCACTGGGATCCAATCATGGGGGTGCCACCCCTAATGACCCTATTATCAAAACCCAATCAATTTCCACAAGCCCCATCTCCAAACACCTTCGTCAGATTAAATATCCACCCTCTTAATACCTCACAATGAGGATTAAATTCAATTTATGAAGCCTTTGGGGACACTCAAACTATATCCAGACCATAGCAGTAAGCTGGAATTTATGATTTTAAATATTCATTTTAAAATAGGTTGGAGGAATATACCAGATTCTTGGCATGAATGTTTCTGACAAATTGAATTGAGGATAAAGTATTTTTTACTTTATGCTGTTATCTTCTTTGTGGCATCTTTTTTTTAATTTTTACAAATGTACCTGTATATCACTTTAATAATGAAAAATGCAAATCCACAAAAATATTAATATCCTTCCGTGGAGGATTTAAAAAGCATATTTCTTCCATGTTGACTGCCACTGTGCTCACCTATGTGCAGAATATGAAAGAGGCAGATAGTAGAATCTCTGACTACAAGATTGACAGTTGGTAAGAGGGGAAACACAAAATATAAGTGCCGTACGTTAATAGTGGTTATCAAATCAAAGGAAAATCACAGAGGAGGCTCCACGTCAGAGCTTGGAGGATCTGATGATTTGGGCACCAAGAGAAAATTTTACTTTCAGTTTAACTGGTCTTGAGAGACTTAGTCAAGACCATTCACGGACTCCATGGGTAAGAATTTTATTTGGAGATTTCCAAAAGAAATATTCGGACTACTCAAAGCCTATGCAATCAGAAATGACAAAATATGAGGAACCAACACAGGGACCGCAGAAGGGAAGCCACTCAGCACGATGCCAATATTTCTTGGGCATTTGTTGCTTATTGAGCGTTGGTAAGAAGGCAGTGGGGCCGACTGGGGTGAACAGCGGGGAGGACTCCGGGGCTGCATGAAGAGGAACTCTGAGCTCCCAGACCGCCGGTTGCATCCCAGACCGCCGGTTGCATCCGATGTCTGCAGCCTTCGCCTCTTGCAGCCGCGGTCCGTCCTCGCTTTACTAAAGGCGTGCACTCCGGCATCGCCCATGCGCAAACCTAGGCATTCGCTTCAGGCAGCGCACGCTGTTTGAAAGAGCGTGGGCCGGGTGGGAATTTTCTGGTTATCCCACACTCTGAAAACCATTGTTAGTTTTCCCACAGTTGTTTACAGTCACGGCGCGCAGAGCCAGACATGGCTGCTTTCATCTAGAGAGAGCGCATTCTCTCGGCATCGCGGTTTTCGCCTCCGTACATGAGAATGGAGTTAGATCTTATAGTTCTTTTTCCAATCCGATTTGCAATGGTGGGGAAAGGAGAGAGTGGCCGGGAATGATGGAGAAAAGGCAGGGGAGCGGGGACCCTCTTCCCGCTTTGCTGGCGGTCGCCGGGGCGAGTACCGCCGGCGGCGGGTCACGGTGAGCACGCAGCCTGTGTACCCCACCACTCACTCTGTGAAACGCCTTTCACCAGGATGACCAGGCGACTCGACAGTTCATTACCGGCAGTTTCCAGAATGCTTGCCTCGGCGGTACCGGCAGCGGCTACCGCAACCACTGAGATGACTGCACCACCTGGAATCCTAGAGCGGACCGGAAGTGAGCGCAGCTCGCGGGGCCCTGCCGGAGCGTGCCGACCCCCGAGGCGGGAGTGACCGGGGAGCCGCTGCCGTCCCCGGAACGCTGCCCCGGGTCTGGCGGGTCTGAGGACCTTCGAGGCCAAAGCTGCGGCTGGGAGACTTGTGGGCGCGCGGCGGCATCGGGCCTGCTTCTTTCGGGCAGCTCGTGGGGCCGGAGGGGTCCTGCTCCCTCTCGGTCCGGGCCCAGGCTGCTGCGAGCTCCTGTTTCGGGGCGACTCTCTCGGTTTCCCTTGCCTGGCGTCGTATACCCAGGTTTTATTTAAGACCAAAATGACCTTGATAACCTACGTGTTCTGTCTCGCAAGTATTTGCCGCTCAATTTGACCCCTCTACCCCAGTGAGTCCTTGTGTCTCCCCATGATTTCCGGTCCTATCAGGATGGCTTCACTTTGAATGGAATTACTTGAGTATCCGCCCTGTGTCGCAAACACGTCTTTTTTAAAACTGCCTGTGATCGTTCTGTGTTAAAATTGTTTTATTGTATCGGAAACTTTCCGATTAAAGACGGGAAAAGGAGCTCAAATAAAATCACCCTAGACCCCAACTGGAGAAAGCCTTGCCCTGAGCTAAGTGCGGGATGGAGACAGCCTCTGGGGGCCCCCCAGCCTTGGCTGGCCAAGATTCAGCCAATCTAGGGGAGATGATCAAAGAGCAGGTTAAAGAAGAAGACCCTGTTTGGGATAAGGAGTCTTGCCTGCGGAGGAATATATCTCATACTAGGGAACTCTCTCATCAGCGCTTCAGGCAGGAGACCCCTGGTCCCAGGGAGGCACTGAGTCACTTGCGGGAGCTTTGCCGGCAGTGGCTGAACCCCGCGAAGAATACTAAGGAACAGATCCTGGAGCTGCTGGTGCTGGAGCAGTTCCTCACCATCCTGCCCGAGGAGCTCCAAGCATGGGTGCGGGAGCACCACCCCGAGAGTGGTGACTGTGCTGGAAGATCTGGAGAGGGAGCGTGACGAACCCAGGCAGCAGGTGAGGCACTGCAGGTGCTGCCCTGTGTGGAGAATTCGGGTGCTGAGTCCAGAACGGAGTAAGTGGCTTAACTTCACTGATGGCTGCAAACTCTGGTTTTGGGCACTATTTGATCACTGGTGTAGATGAATAGATATGTATCTGTTTATGAGAATAACAGTCTTTAAGTGACAGCTAATCCAAATGACATGGTGTGGAAACCTTAATCTATTATCAGAGGAAATATATACATATATTTTGTGAGATTAAAGAAATAGATAAAATTATAAAAAATTTACTGTGACTTCTTAAGATGCCCACTGCTTTTATCATCTATGAAAATAAATCGGTATATGAATATAAGGACCTTCCGGGTGAGACAAATAGAGAAATAGGCATTAACAGGAAACTCTGGGTTGTAAGATCTGACTGAATCCTGTGAAAGGCTCTGTCGCCGAATAGCTATGTGACCTTGGGTGTGTCACATTTTCTCTGGGACTTTAATATCTTCATCTGTAAAATGAAAAGATTAGTTGCATGATTTTTTAGGTTCTTTTTATTTTCAGTGTCTAGAGCAGTTGATAAGAAGTGTTTTGAGCCCATTATTGAGAAGAATTTTAGAAGTCTTATCATTACACTAGAGCTGTTTTTAAGAGATTATATTTGCCTTCTATGACAGTAATTTTAGAACATTTTGGATATTGCCAGATGCTCTTATCTTTCTATAGTGATAGTATCCATATATTTACCTGACTTTTTTAAAAAAAGTGAACATTTTATATATACAATCTGATTTTTTGAAACACCTGGAAGACTAAGTCTTTAATGTGAGATCAGAATAATGCTGAAAATGAGTCAATATAATGCTGAAATTATGCTGGGCTCTTGAGTTTTACCAGCGGGTTAATGTTTTGCACTACCACGTCAGAGTAGCTATGTTCTAACTGTCTGATTATATCAGAACGCAGCAAGTCCTGAAGACATGAACTATTGTACATAATGCCCATCTGCTCCCCTATGTCTTCCTTTTGGCCCTCTTGTCCACAGTCTGTCTTGAAAGTGCTTATTTGTTTGGTTCCTTTTCATCTTTGTGTGTTTTTTGCTAAACTGTTTTGTATTCCAGAAAGTGAGCAAACAGAGGAGTTTGCAAGTACCACAGAAACATGCTGGTGATAAAATTTCTGCTAGTGAGTGTAAAAGAAGAAAACCTTTAGCAACTGAAGAAAAGCTTGAAATTATAAATAATTTCAAAAGACCTCAAAGAACTTGTGACAGTGGTGGTGCAGCTGGCATAAAATAACCTAGTTGAAACAGTTGTCAGTGCTGCAGTCTGTTAGAACAAAGCATAAAGAAATGGAAAATTGGAGCACTTGTTAAGTGTATGAGTGGAATACAAAACAAACAAACAAACAAACAGGTGTAACCTTTCTCAAAATTAAAAAGAAAGCCTTAACAATATATGAAGACCTTAAGAAAAAAAGCTGTATTGTTAAATCCACAACAGGAGTCACTGTGCACTTACTCCCCATGCAGGATCTCTGTCCTTAATGTGTTGCACTATGTGAATTAATGGTAAAACTTGTCTTCAAACAGTACTTTATACTTTGTGTGTCTGTGTGGGTGCAATCTGTTGAAATCTTTACTTAGTATATACTAAGTTGATCTTCTGTATATAAAGATAATTAAAAATGAATCTTAATGAAGAATGGGATGAGAGAGGGAGTAGGAGATGGGATAGTTTGCAGGTGGGATGGTGGTTATGGGGGAAAACCGCTGTAATCCAAAAGTTGTACTTTTGAAATTTATAATTATTAAATAAAAGTTTCTCTAAAATATTTTTTAAAAAGAGAATAAAAAAGGAAAAAGCTGTAAGTCTCGCAGAGATGCCTCATTTACTGCGATTAATGGCTAGTTTAGTGGCTTCAGGAACGGCTCGGCTCTTCACAAAGCTAAGTTCTCCAATGAAGCTGTAAAGACATTCCCCCAGTGTTAAAAAATCTGCCGAAGAAGGCTCTACACTGGATCAGATTTTCAGTTTTGATGAAACCAATCCAAATTGGAAGCAAATGCCCTCAAGGGTCCACACCTTGGAAGATGAAGCACAAGTTCAGGGTTTCGGTCCACAAGCTGATTATGATGCTGGGTGCAAATGCCAGCAGAGATTTAAAGCTAAGGCCTGTTGTGATTTATCTCTCTGTTAACCTACAAGCTTTAAAAGGAGCTATAAATTTTAGCACTGGTGTCTGCTATACGTCTAGCAAGAGAGGATAAATGACAGGTATATGCCCAGGACTTAGAGCCCAGGACAAGCAGATGCAGGTCAGAGAACAACTTGGAGCCATTTGTGGGTTTATACCTCCTTTACGGTTGCAGTGAGAAATGCACAAGGAACAGCCATTTGTCCCTGATGTTAGTGGAGCCACAGAAGATATCCGCTTTTGTGTCCATGGTGGCAATGGGACATGCATACAGACATCTACATCTACATAGATCCACATGTAGGCAACTGCAAATGTGTCTGTATCCGTGCATAGGCCACTGCCTACGTGTCCACATCCATCCACAGGCGGCTGCACCTCGCCATGCCCACCAGAGACTCAGATGAATTTACAGACAAAAGTGGCCCAGAACCAAATCGTTACATAACAGGTATGTGGGCAGCTAAGCAAGCAGGTGGACCAGTTGGTTACCATGACACCAGTTAACATAGACAGACAGAGATATGGGAGCACAGAGATAAGGGGGGAATGGCAGAAAGCATGGGAACTCGATAAACACCATCTTCCCAAATTCATCTTAACAACAGGGCAGATGTTTACTGATCTAGGTCATGTGTTTGTAGATTTATAAAAAAAATTGCAAAAGGAAAAATTTGTATTTTTATGTTCTTAAAATTCTCAGTAATACACCAAGCCACTCTCCAACAGTCATTGAGCATTCTTCAAGTATCAAAGTTCCTTTTTACCTGCCAATACAACTTATTTTTATAGCCCCTTGATTAGGGTGCAGTTGCATCTTTTAAATTTATTATTTGAGGTATTCAAGGTGTTGCATGCAACTACAGTGGCTGACAATGCCCAAATAGTTTTTGAATTCTTGAATGGCTTTGACATTAAACATACCATTGATAATATTCTAGAGGCTAGGAACAATGTCACAAAAACCTTGTGTAGGGTGTAACATAAAATTCTCCCGGATTCATTTCATGATTCCACAGGCTTTCAGCCTTCAGAAGAGCTCACCCAAATCAAAGCAAGCTATGTTGCTCTTTCAAAGGAGTTTGGATTGACAGAGTTGAGAATGAGGATATTGCGGAGCTGCTGCAGTCTTATGCAGAGGCTATTTCTATACAAGAGCTACATCAGTTAGCTGCTGAGGCCCAAATAAAGATGTGGTTGAAGAAGATGACACAGTTCAACAAGTTTTACATTACTCAGTTACCTTCTGCTTTAAGTATGATAGCGATCGCTTCTCGGCCTTTTGGCTAAGATCAAGTGAAGTATGATAGCGAAATAGTTACAGTTGATAGAAGATAATGACTACACTTCAGAATGCAATAGAATTGCACGTTTGTGGCATAGGTCCTATTTGGAGCTATATAAGTAGCTTCTCTGTGGAAAAAGGAAAATGTTAAAACTGCAAGCAATGGGTATCTTTTTGTAAACCACTGTCAAGGAAAGAAAATAAGATGGTGATCCAGAAGCATCATCATATTTCTTGTATCACAATATTTCTTAGAAAGTGTACAAGAGCTTCTTCACTTGAACTTCTGTTGATGAAACCCTTCTATCTCTCCATTACTCTTTCCTTACATCTTTAACAAGGTTCTATCACCTTTCTAGGATGAAAATCCTATACTTACTGTAGTATTTATTTATTTAATGACTTCTTGTTTAGTATTTTTACTGGAGTTTTATTAGTACTCTGGTGACAAAGTTGTGTAAATTTTACATAATCTGTCAACCTTATAGTCCCCATAAATCCTGTTATTTTTTGAGCAGTTTTGCAGAAAACATGTTCCATGAGTTCACATATTACATTTTAGCACAGATGCCTATACATGCAGTTTTTCACTTCTAGCCAACAAATTTTTTCTTTATTTCACATAATATATATATATATATATATATATATATAAAATTGTGCTTGTTGCTTTAGAATTTCCTCTTCTAGCTTTGTTAAAAATGCAACACTGGTAGAACTTGGTATTTGGCCAATTCCCTGGGTAGTGTTCAGGTTTATATCCTGATCATGTTTCATAGTTTTTCATATGACTCAGGTAACTAGGTAGGTAGGTAGATAGATATCTTTTAATCTTGTTCACAGTTAAGTTTTCATAAATATTTCTCATTATTCTTGTGTGATTTCTGAGACACTAGGGAAATGCCTTTGTCATAGACCATTGAGCTACCAACCCAATATCTATTTTCACCTTTCTTCCTAACAAAATGTTGGCTTTGGTCATGCTTGCATATACCAGCCTTCCTTGTACTGGAGTTAGCTGGGCAATCTAGTTCAGGCCAGGGAGGAACAACCATATTTCCTGCTGTATTTCTGGGGAAGATTTTACTTTTCTGATAAAAATGGAACAGATACGTTCAGTTCCATGTTTTGGCAATTCTTGTCTTAAACATGAATGTGATAGTTGGAGCTGTGGTAGCCATCCTTGTGACCATTACGTAATGATAAGTATGAGAGTAAGTACCATTATGTTAAGAATGCCAGAGCAGAAATATAGACAGATAGGGTTCCCGACAAAATTGTTAGGTAATTGAGCTATGGCCAGCAACTGCCTTCTCCTAAACCCCTTGTTGTGTACCAAAAATAAAGCCCTATTGGTTTAAGCCACTGTAAGCTAGGCGTTCTAACTTATTAGAAACAGACCTGTACACACTTCTAATGAATAAGGCAATTTTTACTTCACCATTTCATAACCAAAAGTTTCTTGTAGGATCTTAGAACAAACCAACCTAGGTATTGTATAATGAAAGATAAATCATTATCATAACTAGTTTGTGGTAACTTCAGTGTTGCAATTTGTTATTGCTGTCTCCATGGCACCTTACAATCTTCTGTGTTAGGGATGGAAGTGGCTCCCCTCTTGTTCCTTCCAAGAGGATGCCCACCTATCTTGGACTATTCACTCTGGGGGAAAAGTGGAGGAATCTAACGGCTATGTGTATGCATATGGTGGAAGTGGAGGAGTCAATTAAGAATAGATTCTTGGAGACAAGGGTGACAATAGTAGAAACAAAATAATTTCTATCCGTGGATATTGCTAATGAAGTTGTAATTATCCTTGATTTACTGTACATTTTAACTAGAACATTTACACCATATAATATCCGAATAGTGGTATGGCTTCTGCTTTTCATTTTTTCTTTTAAAGAGAAAAACATTTCAGCATTCAGCATCAGGGATGATGGATTGTTACTAATACACAAGTTAATACCTAAATTACCTTTACTAATCTAGCAAAAATTAGGTAATTCTAAATTTTATTATCAAATACAGGATAACACTTGATTACTTAATTTTATATTTCTTTTCAGTGTACACAAATGGAAAGTTGAGCAACCATAGTCACTCAGCTTAAATAAATCAGAACCCGCAGGTCAGCAGTATTTTATGGTAATTTAGGGTGTGTCACACTTCATTGTAGGACTTGTGATTTAAACTAACCAATGAATAGCATTTCTAAGACATATTTAGGGACTTAAATATGCATTGAAATTCACTTTTGCTCTCATTTCATGGCAACTTGTCCTTTTATAGTATCGCTATATACAGAGCTTTTAAAAATGTAATTTATTTGAAATTTGTTTTATTTATTTGTGAAGCAGCAAGAGAGAGAGAGAGATCTTCCATCTGCTGATTTACTCCACAATTGCCACAACTGACGTTAGGCCAGGCTGAAACCAGGAACCTGGAATTCTATCTGGTAGCAGATGTAAGCCATCCTCTGCTGGTTCCCAGGATGCACATGAGCAGGAAGCTAGATCAGAAGCAGAACTGGAACTGGAACCCATGCGCTCTGATTTGGAAGTTGAAGTCCCAAGCAGCAGCTTAATCCACAGCACCACAATGCCCGCCCTCAACACTTTTTTTTTTCTTCTCTATGCAGGTTGATGTGTTTGAATTTGCCATAATAATTATTTTCTTTTGCTTAGAGTGTCAGTGCTTGGCACTGAAAATCCCAACAGCCTAGACATCAATAAAAGAAGAACTTCTAAACAACAATACTTTATCATCTTAGCTTATTTTTCCCTATGCCAGATCCAGACAAATTACATACAAAAAACTCATGTCTGAACATATGAAGTATGACAAATTAATAAGAAGACAGATACCCTGTGGTGGAATGAGAAGGCCATGCCAAGATGGCCACTGGCAAGCCAGGGTCAGTTACTCAGGAATGGCTTTGAAACCCACCTGGCAACGGAGCCTGCCTGGCAACAGGCTGTGATTGGATGGCTTTGAAACCCACATGGCAAACGGAGCCTGCCTGGCAACAGGCTGTGATTCGATGGCTTTGAAACCCACATGGCAAACGGAGCCTGCCTGGCAACAGGCTGTGATTCGATGGCTTTGTAAACTGCCTGGCAACAGGCTGTGATTGGTTGGGGCATAGACCGCCCCTTGGCCTTGATTGGCTGGTCTTGGCTATATAGGCTGTTGTACCAACTGAAATAAACGGGTCTGCAGGCTACTTGCCTCAAGCCTGCTTTTACCCGACTCCCGGAGTCTATGTGGTGACTCCGCACCTCTTGCCCCCACTATGCTCCTCCTCTCAGAAACGAATCCACTGCAACATTGTTGAGAAATCAACTGCAACAATACCCTATAGAAAAACCAACAAATACCTGCTTTACCAACGAAAATTAGAAAAATGTAAATTCAAGCAACATGTAGTATCATTGTATTCGAACAAGAATGGTTTAAAAGTGCTGACATGACCAAGCTGGTGTCTGCTGAGCCATTGGAATGTTATATATTACTGACAGGAGTAAATTGCTATGACCACTTCAGAAATATCTACCAAGATATGACTATACTCCATATTCTAGCAAATCTACTAAGAATGTATATCTAGCAATAGCAAATTCAAAGAGATATAGAAGAATATTCATAGCAGCATTATTATAATTGCCAAAAAAAACCTCTAAACAACTCAAATCCCACTAAGAATGGAATAAATGTATTGTGATATATTTATACAACTGAATACTGTGCAATGATGAAAATGAATGGATACTGCTACATTCAACAGCAGGAATGAATTTTTAAAACAATGTTAACCAAAGAATTCAGACAAAATTGAATAAGCATTGCATAATTCTGTTTATGTCAAGTTCAAAAAGCAAAATCAATCTTTGATGATCAAAGTTGAAGTAGTAGTTTCTTTTACCAAAGAGGATAGCTTAATGAGATGGTGGACATGTTCTGTTCCTTAACCTGCATGGTTTACTCTGAGGTAAGTGGTTGAGCTCTCCACTCTGTGTTGTGCACTTTTTTTCTAAAAAAAAGTTTATAAAACTTCAATAAATTATATTAAGAGAACTATATTCCATTGTAATGTCTCCTATATGGTAGCTAGGGGTATTTGACCATATATACATTCTTAGATTCATGTCATGAGGAGATGAATTTATCTTTAAAAACTAAGGTCTAATGAGAGAAATTTTCAGAATTAACCAAATTCACAAATACCACCAAAGGAAAAGCTAAGTTTTCACTTGGATTTTGCCAGATACAGAGCATGGGTTGACTAGTTTTCCATACTAGGATCATATAATTTGGTACTCTAAATCATTTGCCTTTGCTTGATCTCATGAACATTTGGCAAGGCAAACTATCCAAATGGTTGTTGGTTGGAATGCAAGGTGGCTTCCACAAGTATACGACTATATACAAGAATGCAGGCATGGCAAGAATGTGAGGTGGCCTGGCTGCTTCCGTGTACGTAGCACCTTCATAGAGGTAGAAGCAGGATGATCATAATCAAAGCTTCCAGATGAAGGGTCCAAGCCTCTTATTTTCCTTTCACTGCAAGGTATATTAAATAAGTAAATCAGAATTTATGTTCTCAAGGAGATAATATTGTTATGTGTGTGTGAGAAAGTTTTATTTACAATATTAGAATTAATCCTGGAGATGTGATTAATCCTAGAGCCTACAATTTTATTGAGCCAGCTTTAAGAGATTAATGATATTGAATATTTGTTTTCATTAAGTACCCACAAGGCCAACACACTATTTTGGTGGACAAATTTACAATAAGTTGATAACACAAAGAGAAAGTTACAGTGAAAGAAATGAAAATAACTAGTTTCTGCTAACTGTCAATGAGCTGTTAGTCATTTTGCTGATTTGCCTAATGTATGCTCTTTATCATTTCTAGACTTGGCACAAATATGACTGATCTGACAACTGAATTTATAGGCCTATATTTTACAAATATTTTGTAAATGAACTTAACAAAAATGATGGAAGGAATGCAATACAGATTTAAATAACTTTTGGTTTTCCAAGAAAGTGAAACCTAATCAAACACTATTGTGACAAACATTGCCATCTGGATAATTTGGAAGTAAACATGCTTTATATTAAAGGTACTGTTCATTTTATGCATTCTCTTAACCTCTAATCAATTGGCTCCTGGCTTCAGCCTGCCCAGTCTCAGCTGTTGCAGCCCTTTGAGGAGTGAACCAGCTGATGAAAGATCTCGCTCTTTCTCTGTCTCTCCCTCTCTCTCTCTGTAACTCTGCCTTTCAAATCAATAAAATAAGTCTTTTTAAAAAATCAGGTAAAGGAGGGATAAAAGCTGTTTACAGAAAACTGCTAGATAATAGATGTAGATGAAATTATAAAAGTTAAGTTTGCATTTTGCAACCCCCAAAATAAAAATAGATTCAGGTATGGGTGATTAATAAATACTAAAGTCACTGGAGAATAGAATATTCACATATCCCCAAATTACTGTCCCACAACTAACTTACTAATTATAGTGTGACAAATGCAGTTTTTGAATGGATAGGTCTAGTAGTCACTGCCTTAATCAACTTAACCAAGTGATCAAATTTAGTATTATTAATAATGGCATAACTTGATAGAATATGTCCTGTGATAAAACACAAGTACACTGATGTATAGTATTTCAAAAAATGTCTAATCAGATCTGAAGAAACAAATTTTTTTTTTTTTTTTAAGATTTGTTTATTTAGGAACCGGCAATGTGGCACAGTGGGTTAAAGCCCTGGCCCGAAGCGCTGGCATCCCATATGGGCGCTGGTTCCAGTCCTGGCTGCTCCTCTTCCTATCCAGCTCTCTGCTGTGCCCTGGGAAAGTGGTAGAAGATGGTCCAAGTCCTTGGGCCCCTACACCCACGTGGGATTCCCAGAAGAAGCTCCTGGCTTTGGATCTGTGCAGCTCCAGTCGTTGCGGCCAACTGGGGAGTGAACCAGCGGATGGAGGACTTCTCTCTCTCTGCCTCCTTCTCTCTCTGTGTAACTCTGCCTTTCAAATAAAGAAATATTAAAAAAAGATTTGTTTATTTATTTGAAAGGCAGAGTTACAGAGAGGCAGAGGCAGAGGCAGAGAGAGAGAGAGAGAGAGAGAGAGAGAAAGTCTTCCATCTTCTGGTTCACTCCCCAGATGGCCACAATGGAAGGAGATGCAGTGGTCTGAAGCCAGGAACCAGCATCTTCTTCCAGGTCTCCCACACAGGTGCAGGGGCCCAAGGACTTAGGCCACCTTCTACTCTTTCCCAGGCCATAGCAGAGAGCTGGATCAGAAGTGGAGCAACCAGGTCTCGAACTGGTACCCATATGGGATGCTGGCACTGCAGATGGCAGTTTTACCCCCTATGCCACAGTGCTGGCCCCTCAAATTCTTAATATAGTATATTCTATGACAAAACTGGTTCTGAATCTTCAAAATTTAATGTAAAATAGCAGGAAATTTTTATATTAATAGGGCAATGGACAATTAATTAAAAATGATGCATAAGCATTGATTGAATTAAAACAATTGCATTAAACCAATTCACAATTTAATTGTGAATTAAGAAAATATGAACGTCTATTGGGAACAATTGGACAAATTTCCACATTAACAGATTATTAGTGTAAGATGATAGTAATGTTTCCTTTTTACCCAACTCAACTATCTAAGTTGATTGGCTATTTTTTCCTGCCCATAACACATTGAGTTAATGTTTTTCACATTTAGGCTAAAACAGTTGTCAGATTTCTTGCTGGTTTTAACATCTCATCAGTCTCTATTACATGAATTACATCTCCCAGACTCGACTCAGTATTTACTTTTAATTAGTGACACTGGAACTCATTTACAATTTTATTTCAATTATCAACAGTTTAATGTGTTTGTTCCTCTTGTTTCCAAAAACAAGAAAGGGATGTACATCAGCTCAGTGGAGAGAGTCAGCTTCTGTTGTGTGGCTCTGGCTTTATTTGTCCCGACAGTTTCCGTTTCTTTTTTTATTTTATCTTGCACTCTTAAGAATTCAATGCAAACTATTTTCCCCCTCTTACATTCTATTTCAGTGAAAGAATATTTGAGAGTTTATGTAGGAATTGTTTATATTGGTTACCAAATATACTTATTTGTCCCCAGGTTCCTACAGACAAAATGACTCCTCTGGATTCTGCGAAGGAGTCCTTAGGTGCCCAGCTCCAGTCTGTGGAAGACAGAATGGAATGTGACTCTCCAGAACCACAACCACTTCAAGAAAAGGGTGAGAATAATTTAGTCCTGGGAACATGTGAAGCTTGGAGTGAGAAGAGGCTAAGCATTGAAAAGTTATCAAACCTCGTTCCATTTCTGCTTCTACTGAATGTAGCTGAAGGGAAAGCCAGTCAGTAGAGTAAGTATAATGTTGTTGAAGGAGTTACATTAAGCAGTCAGGTAATGTCAAAAATACTTGATTCTACTAACTTCTAGAACCTATATTCTGGGTCTCATTTTCATTGCTATGTATTCCTTTCTCCTCCAAATTCATCCTCATTTACCTTCCTTTTCTTCATAGATCATACTCGTAACATGGCACAAAATGGACCAGCATGGAAAGAAATGCTGTCCATGTAATGATCTTTTCCATCACATTTTGAGATGACAATCATGAGTATTGTCATTTCATTATAAAATTAGACAACAAATTTTTATTGAACACTTTTGAATGTAGTAAATGTAGTAATGCATTAGAAAATGAAAGATACTGAAGAAATAAGTGATGCCTTCTTTAGAAACTTAGTCTTGTTTGATCTACCTATGAAGCAGTTCAAGAAGACCAGGTCGTAGTACTAACTTGTGTTACGAACAAATTATGTTTTTCAGGGAAGGAAAATTCACTGAGAGCTTAAATTTAATGACCAAGGAATTCTTATTGGAAAAATTGAGTTAGGTGATGTCAAAACATATGGTAACATATATCAGTAATTTTAACTTAGCTTTAGATTTAAGTTTACTAGCTCAAGATTTAGTATACAAATTGGTAGTTGACCTGAAAGACAGATCCAAGAGTACCTGGAAACAATATGCTAATCCTATTTTATTCTTTATGACTTTTTTCAAAGTAGTTTTCTTAAGACTTAGTAAGCCAAGGTTGAAATATTTTAAGTATCTCTGTTATTATGAATATTCTACACATTACTTTTAATGTGTGTTGTTAAGTCAAATGTTTCACTAGTTTAGGCTCATATGCTACTCTTCATTAAAATTAGCAATGAGGATATTTGTATTGGCTTTACACTTTTACAAGCCACAAGGGAGTTGATATAAATATATTGTCTTGGAACTTAAGTAAAAATTTTTGAAAATGTGGTTGTAGTTGGAGGCTTATAAAGCATTTATCATTGAATTGCTGAGATTTCTATAGCCAAAAACTTGCTTATGTAGCAAATAAATATATACAAGTATTGATTTGTCTCCTTTTAATACGAAACCGTGCTTTACATTGTTATTAAAAAGATTTATCTATTTATTTAAAAGAGCAGCAAAGAGAAGAAGGAATGAAAACCTTCCAAAAACAAGAAAGGGATGTGTATCAGCTCAGTGGAGAGAGTCAGCTTCTGTTGTGTGGCTCTGGCTTTATTTGTCCCAACAGTTTCCATTTCTTTTTTTATTTTATCTTGCACTCCTCTTAAGAATTCAATGCAAACTGTTTTTCCCACAACAGCCAGGAGCCAGGAATTGCATCCTGGTCTCCCATATTCCCATATGGGTGACTGGGGCCCAGACACTAAGCCTTGCCCTGCTGCTTCCCAGTCACATAGACAAGAAGCTGGTTTGGCAGCAGAGCAGAGCTCCAGCCTGGGCTGCCTGCTCTGCTGGTGGCGGCTTAACTTGTGGCAACACTACATGTCAGCCCCATTTCACTCCCCCACTTTTAAGGATTTATTTATTCATTGAAAGAGCAATGGGTTTGGGGTGGGGGTGGGGAGAGAGAGTGCTTTACTTTAACGCTAGCTCTGGGTGTTGCTCTGGACAGTCACATCGGGCTTTCCAGTCCTTATTGTATCAGGACTTTTTATTTCTAGCTCAAGTTCTTCATTCAGTCTCTCTTCATTCCACTGAAGCTGGACTTCCTAACCACAATTCTATCTCCCTTTTGTGTGTCCATGACCCCTACTTCCACTCAAGCTCTATGGGCTATATAATTATATATATGATTATGTTTCCAAGTATTCTGATTTTTTCTTTATGTTTCAGGGTCATTTTTGCGGCTTTCCATGATGTCTCAAAGCATGGGTGTCAACAACCTCAGTAGCTTAGATAATAAGGAAGTAGAAATTGAACCAGAAAACATGTGAGAAAAGTTCTTCAGAAGCTTAGCAGTGTTGCTGGAAAACAAAAGTAACAATACTAAGATATTTTTCTAAAGCAAAGTACTGTCAATTGATAAGGGAAGTGAAAGGAGCTAAAGCTAAGGCAAAAAAGGAATCAGTTGACTACTGTCGCTTGGCAAGATTTGATGTAATCCTTGTACAAGGAAATGAGAAGCTGATTGAGGCTCTAAATGGGGAAACAGATAAAATATGGTATTATTTACACAGCGAGGACTTATTTGACATTCTGCATGATACACATCTCAGCATTGGACATGGCAGATGAACATGCATGGAAAAAGAATTACAGGCAAAATATAAGAACATCACAAAGGAAGTTATAATGTTATATCTGACACTTTGTAAACCATGCCAGCAGAAGAGAGCTCTAACATCAAAACCAATTAAGGAAGTTAACTCAAAAAGCCAAGTAGATCTTATAGACATGCAATCGAATCCTGATGGGGAGTATAAATTTATTATGCATTATCAAGACTTTTGTACAAAATTAAGCTTTTTGCGCTCATTAAAATCCAAGAGACCTAAGGAAGTTGCATTTGCTCTTTTAGATATTTTCACAATTATTGGAGCACCTAGTGTCCTAAAATCTGATAATGGGAGGGAATTTTCAAGCCAAATTGTCAGTGAACTCAGTAGTATTTGGCCGGAATTGAAAATTGTCCATGGAAAGCCTCAGACCTGCCAAAGCCAGAGTTTTACAGAACAAGCTAATGGCAATATCCAAAAGCAGATTTTCTCCTGGATGCAAACCAACAACTCATCACACTGGGCTACGTTTTTGTGGTTCATTCAGATGACTCTAAATCAATCCTATCACAGAGGCATGCAACAGAGTCCAAGTAAAGGTACATTGAGCTCTGAAATGAAACTGGATCTCTCATTCTCAGTTAACTGAGGGACATGTTGCCAGCCTACACACAGAAAATGAATTAGATCAGGCAGGTAAAGATTTAGAAAATAATCTAAGAGCCCGATATGAAGAAGCCTTTGAGACTGGGACAGACAGTAGTGATACTGAAGAAAATCTTTCTATTACTCCTAAAATGGATGAGAAAAACATTCACAAAAGAAGATTAAGATTTTTATCCTGTGTAGTTTGTGATAAAGAATGCCCAGGTGCTAATAGTTGTGTATCATGTCGTGGATATGTCCATGCAACCTGTGGAGTGCCTTCTCATCACGAGACTGAGGGCTGTGCTCACCAAATAACGTGCAGTCTTTGCTATGAGATGAGTACAATGAAAAGGAAGCATGATGAGAGCCAGAGAAGTTGGCCTGTTCAGCCTTCCAAAATGCTAAAACCAGCAGTGACACCATTTTCACCAAAGTAGGAGATTGGGTAAGAGTTTGAATATGTGCTAGAAAGAAAAGCAGGGGGAAGAGTCTCACTACACTTTTAAAAAAATACATATTTAATTTATTTATTTGAGAAGCAGAGTTACAGACACAGAGAGGGAGAGACAGAAAGGTCTTCCATCTGCTAGTTCACTCCCCAAATGTCCACAATGGCCAGAGCTGGGCTGATCCTAAGCCAGGAGCAAGGATTTCTTCTTGGTCTGCCACATTGGTGCAGGGGCCCAAGGACTTGGGCCATCTTCTCCTGCTTTCCCAGGTGATAGCAGAGAGCTGGATTGGAAGAGGAGAACCGGGACTAGAACCAGTGTCCAGATGGGATGCTGATGCCAAGGAGGCTTAGCCCACTGTGCCACAGCGCTGTCCCTCATTACACTTTATTGGGATCAGCATGAATAAGAATTATTTAAAAATCTATATGAATGCACAACTTGGTTACCCTGGATATATTTCCCTCAAGGAAAAACCAGTTATTTTTAATGCCACCCCGTTCTTTCCCGATAGGAATTTATTCCTTCAGTGCTATCTTACTTATTGTTCTGGCATGATGAACAGTATTTCTTCTACTTCTTCCTGACCTTGGTCATTTCTTGGGGGAATGAGAAAGTTAACATCAAGGTGATAAACAGTGTGTATATGTAATGTTTCTACAGCAGAACAAATTTGGGAACAGATGAATTTAGTGCTACTTTGTTTTGATAATATGGGAGTTTCTGTGGGGAAGTAAGCTAAGAAATTATTTTGCTTCAGTGAAGAGATATTTAGGAGAGGTGGGGATAATACATTTGGCCAGAGGTTATGAATTTGAATTGGGTGAGAATTTAGTTTTGAGATTTTAAGGGAGAGCATGAGACAAGTCAAAAATATTTTAAATTTATTTTCTAAAGACTAATTTGTTTGAAAGGAAGAGTGAGAGGGAAGAAGAGGAGGTGAGAAAGAGAGAAAGAGAGAGAATCTTCTACCTGCTGGTTCACTTCTCAGCCGCCCACAACAGCCATGTCTGGGTCAGGCTGAAACCAGGAGACAGGAACTCCATCATGATCTCCCACATGGTTGGCAGGGGCCCAAGTATTTGGACCCTGTTCTGCTGCCTTCCCAAGGGACATTAGGAGGATGCTGGATTGGAGGCAGAGCAGCTGGGACTCGAAGTGGCACTCTAATACGGGATGCCAGCGTTGCAAGCAGCGGTTTAATCCGCTGCACAATACCAGCCCCACAAGAGATTTCAAGTCAGTAGGCTTTCTGAGGAAAGGGTAATGGTTTGAAATATGGAGGTCACACATGATCTAGCCCAAGGGTACTCAAAGTGTAATCCTGCAGGCCTGTGCTAATCTGTAAACTATTCTTGCCAGTCTGCAGTGATATAACAATTAAAGTATTCATAAACATTTATAACAATTTGGCATTGTTTCAACATCTGAGCACATGATTAGTGAATTTACTGAAAAGAGTTTGGACCATTGGTTAAACTCTCATCATGAATCACAGAAGGCAAATGTTGACACTAGACAAACAAAATAGTTTCAAATTGCAATGTGTGATATCTTATACTTCATTTCTCCACTGTAGCCCCCATGTGTAGAAAACTCTGAGGAAATGTAAACATTTAATTCTTTGTCTAGTTTTGAATTTGTAGTATAATGTTGTTAGTTGAAGGAAGTAAAATTTGTGTATTTATCTTTAATCCGAATTTGCAGATGGTAAAACAAGCTTCCCTGGATTTTTTTTTTTGTCAAGACAAGACATACCTTTTCTGAATACAGCAGTAATAATAAAAGAAATGCTAATAATAGAAGTCATCCCAGAGAAGTGAAAGCCAAAAGAGTTCATACTAGCTTCACTCGGAAATATGATCCTTCATATATCGAGTTTGGTTTTGTAGCTGTAATTAATGGTGACGTGCTAAAACCACAGTATATTATTTGTGGAGATGTACTGGCTAATGAGGCAATGAAACCATCAAAACTTAAGCGGCATTTACATTCAAAACATAAAGATTTAAGTTCACAATCAAAAGAATTATTTGAAAGAAAGAGTAATGAATTAAAAAGACAACCAAAGCAAATGTTCAGTGTTTCTCATATAAACATTAGTGCTTTGTGAGCTTCATTTAAAGTGGCACTTCCAGTTGCTAAAGCTAAAACGCCATACACAATTGCTGAGACATTAGTAAAAGACTGTAGCAAAGAAGTTTGCTTGGAAATGCTTGGTGAGTCTGCAGCAAAGAAGGTAGCTCAAGTACCACTTTCCAATGACACCATATCTCGTATTCAAGAACTGGCTAATGATATGGAAGACCAACTCATAGAACAAATAAAGCTAGCGAAGTATTTTTCATTGCAACTAGATGAATGAAGAGATACTGCTAACGTGATAATTCTTCTAGTCTATGTGAGGTTTGAACACGATGATGATATAAAGGAAGAATTCTTTTTCTCAGCCTCTTTGCCTGCAAATACAACTAGCTCAGAACTGTATGAAGTGGTGCAGAATTACGTTAATAATGTGGTTTAGAATTTAAGTTGTGTGTAGGAGTGTGTTCTGATGTGCAGCTTCAATGACAGGAAAACATTCTGAAGTTGTTACACAGATTAAGGAACTTGCCCCAGAATGTAAAACCACACACTGCTTCATTCATTGAGAAAACCTTGCTATGAAACAAATATCAGCTGAACTAAATAGTGTGCTTACTGACATAGTAAAAATTGTGAATTATATAAAATCTAATGCATTAAATTCAAGATTATTCTCTTTATTATGTGATAATATGGAATCTGATCATAGCAACTGTTACTGCATGCTGATACACATGGTTATCACAAGGGAAAATTCTGTCAAGAATGTTTGAAATACGAAATGAACTTTTAGTGTTTCTGCAAGGCAAGAAACCTGTTTGGTCTCAACTTTTTAAAGATGTGAACTGGACAGCCAGACTTGCTTATTTGTCTGATACCTTCAGTATTTTTAATGATCTTAATGATTCTATGCAAGGGAAGAATGCAACATGCTTTTCAACAACAGATAAGATTGAAGGACAAAAACAGAAGTTAGAAACTTGGAAAAGCAGAGTTTCTACAGATTGTTATGACATGTTTCATAATTTAACAACAATTCTCAATGAAATAGGCAATAATCTTGATATTGCACACCTGCAAAATATTATCAATGAACACCTTACAAATTTGTTACAATGTTTTGAATTTTATTTTCCATCAAATGAAGATCCACATATAGGAAATTCATGGATCCAAAATCCATTTCTTTCACCAAAAGATAATTTAAGTCTAACTGTAACTCTACAGGATAAGTTGTTGAAGCTGGCTACTGATGAAGGATTGAAAATAAATTTTGAAAATACAGCATCACTTGCTTCATTTTGGATAAAAGTTAAAAATGAATATCCTGAACTTGCTGAAACTGCTATAAAATCTCTTCTTCTGTTCCCCTCAACATACCTCTGTGAGACTGGGTTCTCTACTTTAAGTGTTATTAAAACAAAGTGTAGAAACAGTTTAAATATACATTACCCCTTGAGAGTAGCATTATCATCAATCCAACCTAGATTAGACAAATTAACAAGCAAGAAGCAAGCTCATTTATCACATTAAAAATGTTAAATTCTGATATATGAGGTGCTTGTTCAAAGTATGTATACAGGCATTTAGTGTGAGGAATTTTCAATTTCACTTCTGTTTTAAAAGTTACAATTATGAAGTAGAAAAAGTTATGAGTAAACCTGCAGTTTTCTATTTAACTTGCTTGTACATACATTTTCAATGAGCATGTGTACAGTTTTTATAATTCTTTTATTTCTCCCTGTTATATTTGTTAAAATATAATTTTAAGTCTGTTGATTCAAATATTAAAAAGTTGTTCCTGAATTTTGTGTTCTTTTATTGTGTTACATAATTGTTAGACAATTTTGTGATGGGGAATGATTTCCTTGCAATGGCAGGCTAGGTCGAAGGAAGTAAATTTAAGGGAATTCAAATGCAAGGGAGGAGGTCAGTAACATATTAAGCTGTTAAGTTGTTCCAAAGTAGTTAGGTTGGAAGCTGGTGTTGAATTTGTTTCACAAATGCATATTTAGACAGTATATAAGTAGGTGAGTTTGGAGGAAATATTTATTTTGTAATGTTTTTATGTTGATGAATTCTGATTTCAAAAGGTGAGGGATTAGGCCATAGTGACAAGTGTATGTCTGAAGGTTTTAGGTTTTGCTGGAGCTCATGGCCTTTAAGGTGCTCTGGAACAAAGTCAGGAATTATTAGCACCTTACATAGATTTAAAAACCTTTATTTCTGTTTGGAGGTGGTTCTTAGAACAACTGAAAACAAAGTGTTAGTACAAGGCAGATTTTTCAGGGTAAAGCATGTCAAGATAGCTATGAAGAAAATGACACTCTTTTCCTAGACAGGGAAGCAACTGATGGTTAATATTTCTTTTCAAACAAATGTAGTATTCAAAGTGAAGAAGGAGAAGTTACTAGGGGATGTAAAATGTCACTGATGATTCACTTTATGATAAAAACATTTCGAGGGGCTGGATCCCCAAAATCTTTGTAAATGGAAGAAACAGTCACGTTCAGTCCTGAAAACTTGATTGGACTATATTTGAAAATGTATTTGTTTTAGTAAAATCTTGCAGCTTAAAAACAATGATAGTTGTGGGTAGTTTTAGAAGAAAGTGGTTTAATTCCTCCCACTTCCAACTTAATATGACCTCTCTCTGTAGGACCCCAAAAGCGGTGTCCTCTTGTGACGACCCCAGAAACACAGACTCCAGACCAGACGATGCAATAGAACAGGAGGTAATTTTATTTCATTTGTACAAATGGGCCCTCTACTGCTGCAAGCAGCAAGCAAGTGAGAGGAGCCCCGAGCAGCTATCTCACACAGCTTTTAAAGGGCAAAACCACAAAATTGCCAGCGCCGCGGCTCACTAGGCTAATCCTCCGCCTAGCGGCGCCGGCACACCGGGTTCTAGTCCCGGTCGGGGCGCCGGATTCTGTCCCGGTTGCCCCTCTTCCAGGCCAGCCCTCTGCTGTGGCCAGGGAGTGCAGTGGAGGATGGCCCAGGTGCTTGGGCCCTGCACCCCATGGGAGACCAGGAAAAGCACCTGGCTCCTGGCTCCTGCCATCGGATCAGCGCGGTGCGCCGGCCGGCCGCAGCGCGCCAGCCGCGGCGGCCATTGGAGGGTGAACCAACGGCAAAGGAAGACCTTTCTCTCTGTCTCTCTCTCTCACTGTCCACTCTGCCTGTCAAAAAAAAAAAAAAAAAAACCACAAAATTAACATATTATAGGCTGGCGTAAGTTCATTGGATAATTTTCAGTAGCGGGCCTTGTATGGCAGTCTGAAGTGCTAATGTCGGTGGAAAAGTACTAGGTCAAAGGGATACATTAGGGGGAGGGGGTTTCTAGGAGACAGGAGTAGGTTGCTACGTGCCTTGCAGCTTTTTTTTGTTAACCTTGAGCAAGCGTAGGGAAGGGGCTTATCTACAAGGCAGGTGTTCTGTGTATCTCTGGTTAGTAGCTGACTGCTTTCTCTGTGAACCGGTTTACTCCCCATTTCCCAAGGCCGTCTCTGGAACGGTTTGTCTCAGGAGCCCCATTTTTTTATGGTGGCTCTTGGCTCCTTTCATTCCCCCATTTTCTCTTTGAACTAATTTTAATCCTAAAATTGTGTGCCGTTAATGAGGGGTTTCAATACGGTCACTGGTGGCCAGGGCTTGATACTGTTGCGTGAGGACTAATGCCAATGATCAGCAAGCCAGGCCTTAGCATGTGGGCCCATGGCCAGCCATGGGTTTTTATATATATATATTTTTTTTTTATTAAATTGAGAATGGCCTCTGTCTTAGGTTGCCCTCAGTCATCTCTGTCCTTACCCGTCATCGGTAACTCTGGCAGCTTGGCCTAGAGCCCTGTCTTAGGTTGGTACAGGATACTGAGCGTCTTACCCGTCTTTGAGTACCATTCCAGCCCAACATTAGGTGAGAGATGAAACATACAGCCAAATATCAATTATTTTGATTACAAAGGAGGCTTGGTACGAAGTTTTAAATGATGAATCTCAGTCCATTTATACTATAGGGAAGTCAGCATAAAATGCAGAACACACGGAAGACATCCCATACAAAGTGGGAAAAGCAGTAGCAGTCCAGCCAACATTAATAACCAATGAATCCATTGAAACCCTTTAAATGAATAGTGGGTTAGTAATAAACATATGTTGCATTTTAACTCTTAAGTTTATCAATAACAGACTCTATATATGGCACATTGTTAGTAATGTTAAAGCAATATCCCCCAGGTACAGGTTTACAACTTAAATGATCTTTTTAACAGCAAGTAATTGTTAGCTGCATGGCTTAAAAGCACTCCTGAGTGAACTTGATCCAATTCTTTGGCTATATTGGATAGCACAGTAGCAGTAAGATTGATTGCTTTGGTCACCAAACATGTAAGCCTTTATAGTCCACGATTATTTTCAAAAGCCAGTCCAGGAACACTTACTACTGATGCAGCCATGGCAAGGGCAGTGTCCTCTCCTATTAGGATGACGTTGTTATTGTAGTCTTCAGGTAAAGCACACCACTGACGTGCTCTATCCGCTGCTGTAAATACAGATGTTAGCATCAGGGCCACACGGCCCAGGGAGCAATTGCAGAAAGGCATGTTGGTTACATGGAAAAACCCATCCCTTAGGAGCCCTTGTCCCATACCAGTACTGGATCAGGTCCATTCCATTGATTGGTGATAGGATCCCTCCATTTCATTATTGCTCTTTTTACAGCTGTTTTTAAGCAGTTAGAATTTAACAGAGACATCAAGAGAACATAATAGATTACTTTAACTCATTGCTTTAACAGAGGATCAGATTTTGATTTTATGTCAAAGAAAATAACTAAAGATTTTTTTTATAATATTTTGCGACTTTTTTACACCTTCTGTAACTTGCTCAAACCTTTCTCTTCTCCCCCCCCCTTTTTTTTTATTCCAGTATAAACCAGCCATTAAGATAAATAATTTTTATAAATTATATCCTTTTAAAAGTATCTCTTTTTTTAATTTTCTTTATCAAGAATATGCTTTTATGTTTGTGACCTTTTACATTAAAATGATGGTATCTGGGACTGTAGCAGTCAATGGGAGAGTAACTTTGTTTAATTCCCTGTAATCCACAGTCATTTTTCAGGTTTCATCTGATTTCTTAACATGCCAAATTAGATAATTCCTTTTAGTGATTATGGGAATCATCACTCCAGCACTAAGATAATTTTTTTTTTACTGTTTTAGATATTTTCTCATATTCACCTGGAATTCTGTATTGTTTACACTGAATAACCTTAGTTGGCCCTGGCAGCAGTACAGGAGCTTGATATAATTTTTTTTTACCACTACCTAGCAGTTTGACTCTAAAGGGCAGCATTTTTTTTTAATTTATATTTATCCTGTATTTATTTTTTTAATTGCTTACACATGCATCAGTATGCAGATAATAAAATCTATTCTCACCTCCCCAAAGCCTATAGTTCATCCCCCTTTTCCACCGGCACTGATAGCAAAACCTCAATAACTTGTGGAGGCTGTGCACTCTGTAACTTGCCATCCCAATTCTCACTCGATTCTGAGCAGAGAGCCCATTCCTTCACCAAAGAGGCGAACTGAAGGTCTTTTCAGCCAGGAACATCACAGGTTACACATGCAACTTTAGTTTTTCTTTTAAAGAAAGGCATTGCTTTGCATACTTGCAGATCCTGCCAACTACGCCAATTTGTGACAGTAAATTACTTTTTAGCTGTCTGCTGTGCACAGACTTAGTTACTTTTAATCTGCAAGAAATACGCTGCAAGCCTTGTAGTGCACACTAAAATTATTTAGAGGAAAGATGGTAAAGGGCATAGATTAACAGAATGTTGCAATAAACATGGCTCCATTGCTTTAATGATACTATAGCAAGATGGTCCACTGATCCCTGTAGGGAGGGCCTGAGGCTGGCCCCGCTTCCAGTTTCCTGAACTCTGTTTTTTAATGAATTACCTTCTTTATCAGTTTTGGAGTGACACTTATTGGCCCAATGCCTTTCCCTTTAGCACTGGAAACAAATCCCAGGAAGAGCCTTATTTTGATTTTTGACTTCTGGATAATTTTTGTACATGTCCCTGTTGCCCACATTTATAGCACCCTCATTTATTAGGCATAGCCCTCCTTGATGATTTTTGTAATGACATACCAAGCAGAGCGTCAGGTCCTGAATGTCCTGTTATTAATCCATTTTGTTAATTTTTCATTAAAGGGACTGTCACAGAACACCTCAATCACAGTAGCCAATTGATCATGTAATCATTACGGGCACATTTAACATTCAGCTTGACTGCGTGTTCCCCCAGGATGAAACAGCAGCAACAGAGGCTTGCTCCGGCTCCCCCCTAAAGCCTCCAAGGACAAGGGTGGCTCATTGCCAAGATTTTAGGCAAGCAGTGCATCCCATCTCGGGTCTTGGCCAGAGAGCCGAGACATGAAGCATGCCCACCTGTTTATCAGAAAACATTCCTTTATCCTCCTCCCCGGGAACTGGCCAGGCTCCCAAGGAGCAGGAGAAGGTCATTCGGCAGCAAAGTTTCTTGGTTACCAGAGCCAAATCTAGGTACAAGCCTCTCCAGCCCAAAAATTTGTCCTTACATTTGGCCCTAGAGTTGCATTGAGAGGTAGACATAATTAACACATTATAAGAATACAATACACATTTTTCATACAAGTATACATCTAGCAATCAAACACAACAATAAAAACAGATGGGGGAGACAGTAAGAGATAAAGGACAACAAAAACAGTGACACACAGAACACAAATCACAAGCCGCGCGGCAACAGACCGA